ACCACTGTAAGAGAGGAAGAAAGGCTTCCATGCCAGGGTCTCTTTCATGCTGCATAATTATAGCACTTTAGCAGACATTACTCGATTTGATCAAATCCTGGGATTTGTAGTTTTGTGTGGTAGTCTTGTAGTGTGTACAGTGATAAGCTTTCAACCACTTCCTTCACATGGGCTCCTTGTCTCTGTTTGGTTAGTCACTGAGACTTGGTGACTAACCAAATAGAAAGTGAGCTATTGCCTTTTCCTTAGAAATTGCAGTTTGCTTTTGAAAATTAAAATGTCTGTAGCATTTATAAATTCATGGTTAAGAATTTGTGGTGGTGGTAGTGGTTGTGTGCTTTCAAGACATTTCTGACTTATGGTGACCCTAAGGCAAAACTGTCACGGACTTTTCTTGGCAAGATTTGTTCAGAGGGGATTGCATTTGCCTTCCTCTGAGACTGAGAGAGTGTGGCTTGCCCAAAGTCAGCCAGTGGGTTTCCACAGCTGAGCCCCCGAAACAAGAAGCCAGTATAACTCACACAAAATTATTTCTGTCTATCCTGTCTATATGAAGCCTCACTTTTAATTATGAAGATAAGGCTTTCTATAGACAGCATTACAGCTACTGAACTATATTTGTGTGTGATTAATTAAAAGTGAAGGTATATACACACACACACACACACACACACACACAATCAAATAGAAACAGCCCTCTCGTATTAAATGCTCGCTCTATTTATCAAAGACTCCTTAAATAAAAAGGTATTTAGTTGCCTATGGTAAGACTTCTGGGAGGGGTCCAACCAGACCTCCCATGGAAGTGAGTTTCATAGCCTGGGAGCTGCCATGGAGAAAAATTTCTTCTGTGTCCCTGCTGTCATAGTGGTATAACTGAGATAGTTTCTATTTCAGATCTCAAGAACTCAAGCTAGCTCATACAGAAAGATAAAAATAATTTTCTAATTGTTTGGTCTCAATTCATGTAGGGCTTTAAGAGTAATCATTATCACTTTAAATTCTGCCCAGAAATAGATTTGCGGGCAGTGGAGCTGTTTCAAAAAGGGGACTCATAACCTGTGCCAGTTGGCAGCCTGACTGTAGCATTTTGGACCCGTTGGATTTTTCAAACACTTCCTAAAGGCAGATCCATGTAGAATACACTATAGTAATCCTAATACAATTTGATTAAGGCATGTGTCACTTTAGACAGATGTGATATCTGAAGGAACTGCAGATATTGCTGTATCCTGAATATGTTGCTTTCATGTTTTCTCTCCTTCCCAAGGCACCATTTTTTTGATTTGGTTTATACAGTTATGAGCACATTTTCATAACCCAACAAGTTGGTGTTAAGAACTTCCATAGTATGGATATAGAATCTATAAATTGAAATGTGTGATTATGTGTGTGTGGGTGATTATGCACACATCCTTTTTTATCTTGTCTGCATACCCAGATGAATTAAATGTGTAACCATCTTCTAAGAATAAAACATGAAGAAGTTACAGAATGCACCTAATTTGTTGGGATGTTGCAACATTATAGGATCTGATAAGAAATTATACAACATGAATGTTGACCAAAAACTGACTTCTTTAGCCATCTTCTACACGCATCTTTGTTTTTGCTTGAAAAGCAGCTTAGAGGAATACAGATCTTTTCCAATATACCTCTTGTTTGAGCTCCTTCCTAACAATCAAGTAATTGGTGCTAATGCTGTGAACCCACCCAAGCCATTAATTTTCTTTTCACATGCTGTCCCGAATGTAAACTGTGTCTCTAAGGGACCTGGCAACAGCGCCTTTCCACCATGCACCTGGTGCAGCTTAGATCTGGAATTTGGTTGCATCAGTTGGCTGTTTGCTCCAGATTAAATTTCTAATCAGACTCAAAAGGAGAGATGATTTGCCATGTCCAAGCACTGCTGTTACTGCCTCTGCTTGGATGACTTTACTGAATCAAAATTAAACTTCATGCCATCATTTCCCCTTTCATGATGTCGCTGCAAATTGATGATTATGTTTTTCATGCTTATAAACAGTTGGCTTCTAATCAGTTGGATCATTTACAGTGAATACTGGTCTAAAACAAAATACAGTTTGGCTTCTTCTTGTTGAATTTTTATGTTGATCAAAACCTCTGCATTGCCCTCTGCTGCTACTCCTAGAAAGTGCAATTCAAATTGGTTTGAAATCTAAAGTGTGGATGAGCATTGAAATGTTAGTTAAAGTAAATGCTAATCTACACTTTAGTATGATCCTGTTCACACAAAGTGAGTTAATTGCTGTAAATCAGCATTGCCTTGGATGGAGATTTGTTCCATTTGGACAAGATCAACTTTTTTCCTGACTTCGAAGAACTATTTTGGTAGCAATGCTTTATTTTTGCTAGAAGTGTAATGCATGTTGAAGTTAGACAAGCAATGTAATTCTGTATTACAGAGGGCAATAATGAAGAGGAATATGTGTGGGGAGAGGACTATAAGTGATCTTAGATGGGTTTGAATTTATCTCTGTGATAGTAGTTTCCCCTTGTTTGGAACATAGAAAGCCCCCTTAATTCAAGGGTAGATCTACACTACCATATAACCCAATTTCAGAATGCAGGTTAACTGCATTGAATGGGATTATATGAGACTGCTATTTAATCCAGTTCAATGCCATTAAACTGCATTCTGAAACTGGATTATATAGAAGTGTAGATCCAGCTCAAGTGAAACCATCAGCTGAACATTCTTTATAATGACTGGAAGTGTCCATCTTGCGTCTTTCCCATCTCTATCTGAAGATGGGAAAGGAACCTACAGATATTTTGTGCTTTAGTCACCATTTGCAGGATCTTTAGGAGGCTAAGAATAATGCCAGCATCATAGTCCTGTGTAAATGCTCTAACCTGCATGTGTTATAACACCAATTAATCACTTACTCTTGTGATGACCCTCTTGCGCAGTATCACATCCCATTCCTGGTTTCTCGGGGAGATAGGGTGGGTTATAAGTTGTTGTTGTTGTTGTTAGAAACACAACAAGATGAGTCCACAGAAAACAAGATCACTCTGCTGTCTGTTGTATTGGATGACATGTCGGACACTTCCCAAGTGTCTAGGACTGTGTGATGTATAGGGGAATAATGTGTGCAGATCCCAGTAAGGTGGCCTTTTGCAGCTGGCAAATAGTAATTTTGTCAGCTCCGATTGTGTTTAAGTGCAGGCCATGGTCTTTAGGCGCTGCACCGCCTTTACTGGCTTGTGCCAAATTCTTTGCAGTTCGATCTTTAAATCCTCATATAGTGTCAGCTTTTCCAGTTGTTTCTCTTCAATCCTGCTGTCTCCTGGAATTGCAGCATCGATGATCCTTATTTTGTTTTTTAACATGATCGTGAGTTCAGGAGTATTGTGTTCCAGAACTCTTGTCAGTCTGAATTCGGAAGTCCCAGAGTAGTTTGACGTGTTCATTTTCTGTAACCTTTTCAGGCTTGTGATCCCACCAGTTCTTTGTCGCAGGCAGATGATATTATTGTTGTTGTTGTTGTTGTTGTTGTTATACTGTATTTCAATAAGTTATTCCACTATTAATATGTTTATCTAGTCACCTTGACTTTAAGTAACATCTTCCCTCCTGCCTTTGTCCCCCAGTAGGCATGGTTAAAACTGAACTTGTTCTCTTTTAGCCATTTCCATCAGTTTTGCATTTCTATGGTTAATCACAGCCTGCCTATAAAGATTAGTTCCTAGGCACTTCACTCCAGGGACCTAAAGAAGTAAACGTAGTGTGTGATACCTTACCCTACCAACTTCATTTTCTATAAAGTGTATCAAGTTCCCTCTGCATATGGGTGTTCTTAACACAGCTATGGCTTTGAACTCTAGCGTAGAGTTCTCTGGGAAGACAGTGAGAAGCTGTTAAAGACCGAAGAGCCTGATAGTGGTAGTGAAGATGATGCTGCTTTTCATATAACTTCTCCGTATTTTGATTCAGATCCCATATGACTTACCATATCCCCTTGGATGATAAGAGGCCTGGTGCTACCACTTGGGCACCAAGCCAGCACACCTGAGCCTGGGCCCAGGTTGTCATGACCAGTGCTTTTGTGGGCTTCTCCACATAGTAGCCAAATTCCCACAGTTGGGTTCCCTTGAGGTGGCAGGACCAGCAAGTCACCCATGTTCCCATCTACACTTGTGCCAGCACCAAATCCTAATTCTCCTCCTCTTCAGAAGAGTTTCAATGGATGGGGGCAGATCTTGAGATCTAGATTCTGGTGCAAAATGAAAATAATAAACAATATACATATTTTATCACTGCAATGTTTAATATTCTTTTAAAAATGATGAGTGTAATTTATTGCTATCACTATGCCAGTCAGTTCAATACTTATGAACCTTTGCAAACTTTTACAACTTTGCCATAGACTTTTATATCATTTCTGTTTTCTCTTGCAATTGAAATCTGAGTAGTAAATATGTGACTGCTAATCTCCCAACCCTTCTTTTTCCAGCTCTGGTGATCAATGTTTACCCTGCTATTAAAATGCTGCATTATAAGCTCAACTATTTTCTTTTTAAGGGCAGAATTTAAATGTTTAGCATTCAATTTGGGACCAAAATTTGCAACATGTTGATGACAGGAGTGCTCCATTAATTTTCTGTGTGGACTAGTAGGGAAGGAAAGCGGGGGGGGGCTGGCTGGAGAGGGCAAGGACATTCTTTTTCTGCACATTTTCCCCTTTGACCCTTGAAACTTTAACTCTTTTGTTCTCCATACATAGTTTTCTGCCTCAGTCACTAGAAACTTGTTTCATGGTGTTTGGAGCTGAGCTAATGCCATTGTATAAGCATGGCTGGAGCTCAGATACTGTTTCTCCTGCTGACTTCAGTGTGCATTCATAAGAAGAGGAGTTGTGGGGAGCGGGGACAGCTTTTGATGCTTCATGTCTTGCTTTACTGTAAGGCAAAACAATTTTCATGCATTTGAGATGCTTGCTGCAATCATTTGATTTCTCTTTTTTTCCTTTTAGATTCACCCTTCATAAGTCAAGTTCTGAAGAAAGTGCTGTAGGTCTGTATACTTCATCTTTTTCGATACTTTTTTTATTTTTGAAGACCATGTTGGCCTACCTCATGGTTATCAAATCTTTTACAGTAATGCCATTTGTGTTGTTTCTTGCTTTGGGCAAAATAATCGTTAGGAGTTTTTTTCCCCCACATTTCTTTTACAACTTTAAATACTATTTTAATGTTTTATATCTTCAGAGCAGTATTGCTTTGCACATTTTATCAGCTCTGAAGAGCACACAGGTAAAGTCATGGAGCAATTTTGCTTGATCACTCAAGCTAGTGGTCATTCCTTTCAGTATACCAAAACAACAGCAATCACCATAATGAGGAAAATAAAATTATCTTGTTTTCTTTAAAATCTAGGTGATCAGGACTGGCTTATTTTTTAAATAAATAAATAAAATTAAAAAAACAAAAAAAAAAACAGGTGATATTTTTTTAAGAAATGAAATTTAAAATATGCCTTTCTTTTATGCCTTCTGCTTCCATATCCTGGATGATTTTTTTTCTGAAATCCATATTAATGCTAATATTCTTTTCAAAGCTGAATTTAGAGGTTTAAGAACTGATACAGAGGACTGGGGAGCTTTTTCCTAATATGTATATGTTTATAAGTATCTTTGTATGTGACTCTGAAACTCCCTTCTTCCCAGGGAAGCCAGAATGGCCCCTTCCCTGCTGTCCTTCCAGCAGCAGGTTAAAACCTTTTTATTCGGACAGGTGCTTAAAGATCAAGGTGTTTAAGTCAGGGGGTGCTGTGGTTTTATATGCTTTTATGGTTTTAACTTGAATTGTTTTTAATATTAATGATGTTTGATACTGTTTCAATATATGTATATTGTATATTTTAAGTTTTATTGGAATACTTTTAATTGTGAGTCGCTCTGAGTCTCTTCAGAGAGATGGTGGTGGGGTATAAATAAAGTGTTGTTATAGAATAATAATAATAATAATAATAATAATAATAATAATAATAATAATAATTGTGTGTGTGTACCCCATCAGGAAAAGCAGATTGGAAAAAGAAAAACAAGTATTTCTGGCAAAATTTTCGAAAGAATCAGAAGGGACTAATGAGGCAGTCTTCAAAAGGTATAGCTTTATGAGAATGCTGTCTTTAAATATTAATTACATATTTTCGGAGTGTAACTTTATGTAGATATTGAGAACTTAACTGGAATAGAGGTAAGCAACTGAAATATTTTAACAAAAATAGTCTTAATCCTCTGAATTACATTTTTGCTCGTTTAATTTCATCATATTTGAAAGTTAAGTGCTATTGCCAGACAAACTATTGAAAGCTGTGCAATTTAGCAGAAGAATCTTTAATTCTCAGAATTATTCTATGCTAAATCACACAACATGGAATAAATATTTTTAAAAGATTCAAGATTCAAGTTATGACCTACAAAGCCCTAAACAGTTCGGGCCTCGCCTATCTTTGTGACCATATCTCCCCCTATGAACCGGCATGGGCTCTAAGATCTGCCAGGGAGTTCCCCCTTTCACATCTACTACCATCACAAGCACAATTGTTGGGGACGAGGGAGAGAGCCTTCTTGGTGGTGGCCCCCACCAATGAAATACCTAACTTTTAAGTCTGAGTTCTATGACTGTCTTTAACATTGACTGTCTGTCTGGTGCCTCTTTGGTTTTATAAAAAAGCAATGTCACGGCTTTCAGCTGATTTCTACTGTTATTAACTTACTTGACAGACCTACAATCAAGATATCTTTGTATTTTGTTAAACTTCACAAACTGTCAGATGAATTCCCCAGCATAACTTAGATAATACTAATTTTTGCATATACAATTCTGCGCGAGTAGTGTTTTGTTCTGTTAAATGGTTAAACATAATATGAGCTGAGCTAATTATTGTGTACATTAGTCAAACAAAATCACTGAATATTTTAAGGAAAATAGGATTTTCCCTCAACAATGAACATATTACCAATCAAATGAAGCTAATCCATCTTCCCTGCATGCAACTGTTGACATAAAGACCAGGTGGTTCTTGAACGGCTTTCTGCTGGTTGAAGTAATGCTAAAATAATCTATCAACTGGAATAGAACTTGTTTAAACTAATTGGATTGTTTGATATGTATCTTCATTTATGTAATTTTACTATGTTCATCTACATCTGTATGTATTCAATAATGTATAATGCAGATAACACGTACATAGTAGCCAACTTAGCTTTGACAAATATGTATAAAATTTCCTTGGTCTTAATACTATGAACAGCACACATACTGTCAGAACACTATGTCATTAAACAAATGATGCTTACTGATTTCGAGATCTCAAAATGTCCATGACATAAACCCATTATTACTAAGCCACTGAACCCTCCCACTTACATTATATGCACATAAAAAATAATATGCTTGTGGAGGAGCTTTTGTTTGTTTTATGGTCTGCTATTCCATAATAAATGGTTCTTTCTATTGTGAATATGCTAGTTATTCTAGCATATCTATATATTATGTTTCAGTAACATATTTCTAACCCACCATTCTACAACTGTCATTGAAGCCCCTCACAACTTTAAAAAAATACCGTGATCATACAATTAAGCAATGTCATTCAATTACATTTAGTACCTAAGCACAGAGAGCAGGACCAATATCTTTAGGTCTTACCAGCAATTGCTGTATTTCTTCATCTGAAGCAGTGAGTGAGAAGTTGATAATATAACAGAGTTGTACAAAGAATGACAAAAATTAGTTTATAGTACATAAGATCTCATTAGAGATGATCCCACACTCAGGCTTTGGATTAGCATTCTTTTTGCTGCTCTGTCATTTTCTGTAATGATTTCCAGGTGTAATAAATATATTTCTGGCATGCCTTCTTCCTAAGCTGTATTGATCTAAGGAAAGAAAATAGGTCAATGAAGAGGGATATTTTATCATTTGTTCCTGTCACCAAACGGAATGCAGTGGGATCAGTGAGCAAATTGAGGGAATGGCAATATATCTCTTGACCTAATGTAACAAACCTCTAATTTTCTGAATTTTAAATGCAAGTGCCTGAGAATTTCAAAGAGGGATTAACTTGAGCCTAAATGACTTGGGAATAATTATTTGGGGGACAGTACACTATGAAGGTCATTATTCAATATGTGTGACTTTCCATTCATTTGTTTTAAAGGGTCTTGTTCTTTTTTCTTGTCTTCAGGGGAGGATGTTGGTTATGTGGCAAGTGAAATCACAATGAGTGATGAGGAGCGGATCCAGTTAATGATGATGGTCAAGGAGAAGATGATCACAATTGAGGAAGCACTTGCAAGGGTATACGATCCATATACTTCTCTCTTTATCCTTCTCTGCCCTCTGATCAGCTAATTGGGAACCGTGTTCTTTAAGCTGGTTCCTAATGATAGGTCAGGTTGCATTGGTGATTCACTGTAAGCTTGTGTAGAAGTTGCTATAATTATTGGAAAAAGCATTATCATAGAGAATATTAACTTGGTGGAATGTAGTACAAAAGGAAAATATACCTATACATTACTTCCCCCTTTAACGAAGCCCAAGAGATTCAGAAATGGAAGTAGTTCTATGACTAAATGCCTTTACAAAGATTGAGATTCCCCTGTACAGTATTAATATAAACAGCATATATAGGCCTGTATTGATAAATAAGTGAATTGCATTTTAGCTTAACTAAGCATGAAAACTGAACCACTCTATATATAATAAAAGTGTAGTAGAGTCAGCAGTAAAAGATTTAATGAGTCCTTACTTTGCAGCTAAAATTTGAAAACTTGCTCTACATTAATTTTGAGAAGGCAGGTTTCTTAGGTTTATACTAGATCAGATAAATCTTTTCACTATAAAAAAACTGAGTCTGTTTCTGTCTTGTCAGTCTACCTGTCTTCATATATTCTTTCTGAAAGGCAAGCGGAGTAAAGTGTAGTGGCCATATGACCTAGAAAGTATTATGTTACTTAGTTTATCCAGTACTGCTACTTTCTTGTAAAATATATGAAACTGAATAAACAAGCAGCAACCTTCAAAATGAGATGTTTCATATTTTCTTACTTTTGTTTCAGCTTAAGGAGTATGAATCTCAGCGTCGGCAGTCAGGTAGCACAGACTCCTCTGAATGGCCTGATCATTCATACCCAAGTTTTGATGGTTCTTCCAATTGTAATGTAAGTATCAGTCTCTATGATGCCACATATACAAATATTAGTGATTTGTGCATGTAAAAGTTAATCTATATCAATTATCAATTCATGTTGGCCACATCCAGTTGGTACCAAGCTGTCTACAGTTCCAGCCCAGTTTACTTGTTTGAACGTATTCTCCCCTATGAACCATCAAGGCTGCTAAGATCTTCTGGAGGGTCCCTGCTCTCGGTCCCACCACTTTCGCTGTCACGTCTGGTGGGAACAAGAGACAGGGTCTTCTCTATGGTGGCCCCCTGGCTATGGAACTCTCTCCCAAATGAAATTAGATCTGCCCCCTCCCTCCTGACCTTCAGGAAGCTAGTAAAATCATGGCTATGGAATGAGGCATTCCCAGAATAATGGCTGAGACTGGCAATTGACCAATTTTATGGACCACAAGATGCAGACAGAATTGGACATAATTTTATCTTGGCAAATTGGCTTATATGTATTTTACCCTATATGTATTTTAATTCACTGTTGATGTTTTTTGTTAAAGTGTTTTGATATTTTAGATTGTATTGTTAGCATTGAATCCTTGCTGTTAGCCGGTCTGAGTCCCTCTACGGAGGTAGAGAAGATCAGGATAGAAAAGTTTTAAATAAATAAATAAATACAGCCTTGGTGCTGATCTGCATGGGTTCGTGCATAGAGATTCTAGGAATGATCCCTGGTGCTTTCAGACTAACTCATCTGTGTATCTTGGAAGCAATTGAGCCCTTTCCATCAGTGGCATTGCCCAGTGCATCTGCAATAGGTCCCAGGAGTTTTTTGCCATCTGACACATCCACAATAGCACCTGTCCTTCTTTAATCAATCTGTCATTGCCAAACATGACAACACCAATGTTGTCGGGCTCCAAGTTCAAGGGCATACCTTTCAGCCCAGAAGTTGAAGGGTTTTCTGTAGAGTTCACTGTAAACACTGCACCTTGTTCCTAGCAGATTCATGTAAATGGTTGACATTCAGAAACATCTTACTACTGTCAGTTTTTTTGTGACCTCAGCTTTGAGCTAAGCGGTTGGGATCCACAATTTTGGAGTTGGGACCCCCAGTTTAAGAAGTAGTGCTTTTAAAATACCAGATTATTTAAGCTATATTTCAGAAGATGGAACTGACCAAACCACCCTTGCCAAAAAAAAAACTTCACCGAGTCACCGAGGGCTCAGTTGTCTTCAGAATACTACATTTTGGTATCTGCTTTTCCAAAATGGTATAACCTCTTCTTACAAAAAATCATTTTTATCAGAATTTATTTTGTACTTTCTTTTTTATCTGGTATGCTGTAAGGTGATTGAACAAATGACTGCCTTGGCACCTGGTTTTCAAGTTGAATGTTGGCATATATGGGTTCCATCAGGCTTATTTAGTACATTTACTCTAATTCAAAAAGTCTGGTTTTCAAAATGTATATGATGTTGTGCCCAAAGTGTACCCTTGTTCATGATAATGCTGAAGATTCCTCTAATGCTATTTCCATGGCTGCTTTGTTCCCAGTATTCATATAATAAAGCCTTAGTTAAGCTCCCTTAACAAATTAAGCTTGCTCTTGGTCTACATCCTGTGTCAAATTCCATTTGCATTTTCAGAGGCCACCAAGGCTTAGATTTCCCAGAAACCTTTTAGCTGCTATCCTCTTTCTAACTAGTTTGTGTTTTTAGATCTTTTTAGTGCTATTCCACTCCAAAATATAAATTAACATGAATCTCTTAAGAAAATATAGGATATTGATCTATCATTAAAACAGACTATTGTTGGATTTCTGTATCTGCTTCTTCCACTTTATGCTTCCCAAATCGGTTCCAGGGGATTGATTGCATTATTTTGACTGTTTAATATGTTTTACCTGTATGTGATTTCATCTTTTTTGTTCTATAAACCACCTTGTGTTGTATTCTAGGGGGAAAGCAAGGTATAAAGTGAGGATTTTTGTGGGGCTTTTAGAACAAATATGGGAAATTGAAGGGACAGAAAACATGGGGAAATGTCATTCTATCAGCCGAAGTCCTTTTTGACAACTTTGGGATCCCATGCTGGGGGAAAGACCTGGAATGAAATAAATACATATCTTTGCATTATCTTGGAAGAAATCCCATAGTAATTTTCATTAGTCCTCCTGTTTTGTAATACAGAAACAACTGTGTATTTCTAAGAAGGTTTATTCATAGGTGTGTCCAGTGTGGTTTAATCTGAAGTACATGGATTTAGTACTACAGTCTGAGATCTTTAAACAGTCTCCTGTTAATAAGAACATCAGCCCTGGCCTTGTCTTACTCAACTGCCGAATATGTTTGTCCTGTTTGACAGAAGTCTGCCAAGGCAAAGCAGGTGAACACACCATTGAACAAACTCTACAAGCTAGCTAGCATTGCCCCCCCCCCCAATGTGTGATGGAAGGTTGCTTCTGGCTGTGAGAGAAATCAGGCTGAACACCATGAAAGCACTGCATGGCCATCAGCCTCCTCCTAGTAGACTCAAATAAAGGAAAAACTTCATGAGAACCACCACTCCTCTTAACCTTTCCCCAGCATCAGAAAGAGTATCCCTTTGGGCAGCTAAACCAGGAAATCCCAATTGGATGCCACCCCATGGGTCTGCCTCCAGGGGAAAACCAAGCATGGGCAACTTGAATGTCCCTGAATAGACTCAGAAGTGGAGTGGCCAGATTAAAAGACAACCTGTCAAAATGGCACTACCTAAAATAATCTTCCACCTTGTGTGACTGTGCAGTAGAACAGACAACTTTGCATCTGTATGCTTGTCTGCAGTGTACAGAGGAAGCATTGTTGGAGGCTACAGACAATGCGGTTGCTGTTGCCCGTTTTTGGTCAAAAGATATTTAACTGCTTGTGCTCCTATTTTTATGAGTTTTATGCTAATTTATGTAATGCTTTTGGTACAAAATAAATAAGTAAATAAATAAACAAACAGTCTCCTGTAACACTGACTCAGTGTAAAGGTCTTGTTCTCCAGTAATAATTTTACCCAACAAGCAGCTGTAGGGGAGAGATGCTGTTTTAAAAGAATGAAATGAATGTGGAATGTTTATGTTTGTGTTTTTTTTCAAAATAACAGCTACAAAATAGTTTTTTTATTCAATTGAGCATAATACTTTATGTGGAAAAAACCTACTACAATCCTGCTGCCACTACATGTTGGTGCTGTACAGATTTAATTTGTATTGATCTTTCCCCTTCCTTTCAAGCCCGAGTCATTTACACTTTTCCCAGTGGCAAATTGAGATGTTCAGACTCTTGCTGAGCTACAATGCAAAAACAATTAGCAAAGGACAGGGCGCTGTCTCCCCTGGGCATGTAGAGAGGCTGCCCCCTGTTGCCTTGGAACTGTTAATTCTAGGCTCTCTTTGGAGGGTTCTGTTTTCCTGTTCTGAATGTGCCAAGCGAGCAGCTGTATTGGATTTATGCCAAATACATGCAGATTAACATTTAATCTTCTCATTGTTATGTGTCCCATTCCTAGTCTTTTTGTTCAAGACTTTGCCATTCAAGTCATGTCCATCTTTTTTGATAAGAAGCAGTGCTCCTGAACCAGGCTCTTTTCTCTTCTTTTCCTCCTTCCCATCTTATAATTTAAAACGCATTTCAATGTTCTTTTGGCAAGGAGGACTGCTCTTGTTGGTCCTTTTCAGAGGATTTTGCTACTAGAAAGCAGTTTGTGTCTTTCAGAATCTCCCTTGTTTCTTACTGAGTACTCACAGTCGTGTGTTGCCTTCTTTAGGAAACCTGGAATACTTGAGGCTATAACTGCTGGCTTTTTAAAAGAGTTGTGCTACACTTGAAGTTTCCAAGGGTGTGTTTAATAGAATAGGTATTAAAAAACCAGCTTGTCCATAAACCCAGTAGATGCGCGCACCCCAGTTCCAGACCACAGTGTATCCTTTTGTTTGTCTTGATTTGTTCAGGCAGAATTTGTCATCCTCAAGAGTCTTGCTAGGAAATCTTGCTTCCCAGAGGATATTGATCCCCTGATATTCTTGGTCTTCAGTGTAAATAACTGTTACATGAAGGTGAGAGCATCTGGAGTATCCCATTCTTAAAAATATTCACACACACAGTAGTTGCTGCAACTATCGTCACATTATTAGCTTCCAATTACACTAAGGGATGTGGCTATTGTTAAAAAAACCACTTTTAAATATCCAAAATCAGTGACTCCTATCAAAAGCATACAATCTAAAATATATGTGTGTATACACAAGGGGAAGGAATTACAACATAGAAAACTATACAACACAATTGTAAAATAAATTATCTATAAAAAAATACAACAGTACAATATAATATAATACAATGTGGCAAGTACATGTAATAAAATATACACAATTATAAAATAATACTAAAGTAAAAGTCCAGAAGTTTTGGAAAACAATAACATTTTTAACTGAGATTTAATGATAACAAGAGAAGGAGCGGTCTACAAATAACCAGGGAGGCACTTCCAGTGAAGATGAGGAAGAGTAAACATATAGCTAGGTATGAAGCCTAGAGTCCCTAAAATGCAAATTTTGGACAAATAAAAAAAAGCTAAAGATAGAGACGAGCTAAGCTGTATAGGGCTTTGAATGTTAAAACTACAGTTGCAGTTTTGGAAGTGTTGGATTGAACAATGTGATAGAAAATAAAGCTGTCAGTGACTAATTGTGGCGGTTGTATTGGCAGGCCTCTCTCATTACCAGTGAGTAAGGCTGCCATAAAATCCAGTTTCAGAATGCAGATTAACTTCATTGAACTGCATTATATGAGTCTATACTGCCATATAATTCAGCTCAATGCAGTTAATCTACATTTTGAAAGTGAATGTTATGCCATGTAGATCCAGCCATCGTGAGGAATATTGTCTGGAGGAGGCTTACAAAATCTATTCCCATTTTCTCCCACAACCAATGGTTAGGATGTCTGTTTTTTTATTGTGTGTCAAAAGCATTGCATAAATAAATAAGTTTAAAACTGATAAAATAATGG